CAGTTGTTGCTGCATTACAGAGCATACCCAGGGCTTTTCTGGTGTTTCTTTCCAAATTAAAAATATGCACATATGCGTCTCCTCCAGCAGCAGTGGGACACCCTGAGTGTCTCCATGTTCGTCAGATAAGTCTGTTTTGTAAATTGTGGGGCTGTTAACTTAGGAACAATCCATGCTTGAATCCTTTTTTAGATGGATTATAACGATGGTGTTTATGATTAGCAGTAGTATTGCATTGTTATAGCCCTATTAGTATGCATAGTGCTGTACATAACTGGACAGAGGCCTCATCCAAGGAGTTTACTGGCCAGTTCAGAGAAATGCAGTGCATCCAAGCACGGTTGTAATAAAAGATAGGGCTTGCATTTAAAAGACTGGAGTCTGCATTTAGAAGACAGCAGACGGGTGATGTGTCTGGGAGTTTGATTCTGACCCTTCTTTGGTTAACATTGAAGGCAGTGCGACTCTTGAAATTATTTAGTAAGTAGACTAGCTGTTAAGAAGCCGAAACTGCTGTGTGCACTGAAATGCTATGGGAAGTCTCCATCCAATGTGGCGCTCTCATGTTACTGGTTCGTAAGGATGGGCTAAAGTCTGAGAGATACTAAGTTTTCAAGAATCTTCAATATTGAATTTAAAGAGGCAACGTGATGGAGTCCACTTGTAAACCTCAAAAGGAGTTATAAATGGAGGCCAGGTGAAGAAATAACTTGATTATTCCTCCAGGAAATAACCTAATGCAGCAGACCAGGGAAGGGGCAGGCAGCAGAGCGAGCAGGGAGCAGAAAGCAAAGCAGAAGATCAGGCAGGGAGCACAGGGCAAGAAGCAGAAAGCTGAGCAGCAGATTGGGCAAGGGAAAGGGACTGGAGTGGCACGCGAGGAGGGTGCGGGTGGCATGCCAGCCAAAAAGGTTGGCTCCCACTGATCTAGCGCTCCCTGAGCTGAGAGCAGAGCTACTGTAATTGTTGGAGGATCGCTGGCCAATAATCGTTTATTTTATGGGTGGTCCCAGTGGGTGACCTGAACGCGTGAGAGAGGATTGTTTGAAAACAGCCATAACCAGAACCTACAGCAGAGAAAGGGCTGGAAAGCAACTTGCTTGGCACTGGTTAATCCCCAAGTTAAGAGCAGAAGCAAGGGAGTCACAGGTGGCAGACGGGCAGGTCTTGCCTGGATCCTGCTTTATCAAGGACCCGAGTAAATAAAGCAGGCAGCAAACAACACTCATGTTGAAGGAGCCCAGGACAGAGCAACTGGATTGAAACGCTTCATTCCTGAAGCAAGGACTGCCAGAGCTCGCTTCGACGGGATTATTTTCAAGGGACTTTGGGTAATTGAATTTGTTCTGAATTATAAAACTGGAGGAAAGCAAAGCCCTGCTTTCCCCTGGGGCTTTTTAGTGTGTTTGCTGTGCAATGTAGTCACCGAGATGGGAAAATCTGCCTGCTTGGTTACAGCCTAGGTGTTTCTCTGAATTCAGAAGTGCATATTGGATGTAAGGCAGTTTACGCGTCTAGAAGTCCGTGAGCGTATGCTGAGAGATTTCATGATCCATCTCAAAGTTGCCAGTTGTGGTATTCGGCAGAAAAGAAAACTCCCTCCTCCTTATTTCCCCCCCTGCATGGAAATGCTTCCTGTTCTCTTGTCAGTAGCGACCCTGTTTTTGGTTGTTCAAAAAAGACCAGTGTTAACCTGCACCCCAGAACCCTCTTGACTATTCTCTGCCGCACTTCAACGGGTTCGGGGGGAATCGATGCAAGGGGCTTCTCTTTTGCAGGTTCTGGCTATTGAAACAATCTGACTTTCTGCCACCTCCGTTTCTCCTCCTTGGTGTAAGCATCACCTGGAAGCATTATTTCCTTTTCATAACCGTATGCAGTGCAATTTGGTTTTTGTGATTATTGCAGGTGAGCAAAGTTTGCTTTTGGAAGCTGGTTACGTTAGTGCTCTTGGGTTCATACTGATTACTAATTACTTTCTATTTGTTATATCTAACTTTGGAAGGCAACTTTACATGTTTCTAGAGGGCCGCTAGGCTGCAGGTGAGAGAAAAGAAGTCTTGTCTTGGTGCCAGTTAAAACCTGACTGATCTGCTTAAGAAAGAACATGTTTCCTTGAAAATGAGAGAGAGATTTCTTTCCACCCCTCATCTGATTTGGGACGGTTTGGCTATTCTGGCCGTCTGTGATTTACAAGGTAACAACTGGATAGGTTTGCCTGAATAATAATAATAATACGGTCTTGCAATCAAGCCTTTGAATGGGATTTCAGTCCCTCTCAACTTTTATTTACTGTCATTCACCTAGACCCAGACTAAAGTCTGTGAGAGTCAGTGGAAAGATTGCGAGTCAGGTCCTTCAGTCGCACTTTGCTCATAAAATGGATATTTGGTTCTAGAGCATACATAGACAATGCCAGAGAAAAGCAAGTCTGCACTTTAAAAATCAAATTGTGCCATATTAACAGATAGAGTTGCCAGTTAAATAAATGCATGTGGCAGAAGAATGAATATCGAATGCAACAGAGCTTGTATCCTCCTCCCAGTTCAGAAGGTACCTGGTTGGCCCCCTTGAAGTGGCAACCTACTGAATGAGAAATGACGGGCTAAAGGAGTCTTCAGGAGGCGCCCAGTGAAGAGGGCAAAGTATCTGATGAAAAATGCACGGCCTTCTGATCAGGTGCCTGGTATCTGATCAGGTGCCTGGTATCTGGGAATGCAGACAGGCTACCGAGAAGGTACAGCGTGTACTGTAAACAAGGCTGGGGAAGGTCACAGCTGCGTGTGCACAGATGTGTTTTATGGGGAGAAGGTGGCTAATCTTAAGTGTGTGTATTAAATGCACGAGTGTCGGAAAGGATCACAAGGACCACCTTCCTGAGTCACATCTGCCAAATCGGAGACGTTGGTGTTTGTGTGGGTTTTTTTTTTTCTTTTTTCTCAGATCTCCCATCAGATTTTCCACGTGGTCAGCACTGTGACTTTGGAGGAAACAGAATATAATAGAAGGCCCTTGTTCAGATAGGGTCTAAAGAACTGATAAGGCCTAACGTAGTCTGGAGTGACTAGGTTGCAGGGATCAAACTATAACTTTTCCCTTTCTGTTATCTAAATTTGGAATGTAACACCGTGTTTCTAGGCCACCTGGCTGGCATTAATTAAAAAAAAAAACAAAAACACCTTGTATTTAGGCCATTTATAACCCGGCCGAACTGCTTAAGCACAATGCTGAAGGGCCTCGCCCCCAATCTTCCCAGTGACTGTCATGGGCTGTAGTCTGGTTCCATGTAAATCGGGACTAACACACCGACACGTTGTTTTCCCATTTGCTTTTTAAAAGATGTAAATATTTCCTTGGTTTCGTTGTTCTGGTTATGTGGGCAGAGCACTTGGGGACGGGAGCAGTCAGCATGACAATCTGATGCTTTTCAGTGTGCTCAGCATAGGTGGAGCTAAAAGAGGCGCATTGCACTGCTAGGCCGGGCCTTTCGTGATCGTCTCTCCCGACACCCGGCTCTGATAACTCCCTTCCCCCAGCTGCTTCCTGCCTCTTGGCCCCGAGCGCGATCATTTGTGCATGCTTTAGATTTGTGGTTTCACAGCCTGGTCTAAATTGGTCTGTCTGAAGTATATCTAATGCACCCCTCCCATATTGGCTCCTGTGTAGCTTGTTAAGCAGGCTGGGAAGTGATAAAATAATGCTAAAGATGAGTCGGTGAAGGCAGTAAAAAAACTGATTACCAAAGCCCTAAATGGGACCATGGATGGGGAACTTGTTTGCAATTACTTTGGCTACTTTGGGGGTGGGGTGGGGGGAGCGCTGCAGCGTGCTATGGAGAGGACACCCAGGTTGCCCTTCAAACCATTCTTACCCAAACCACATGGCCCCTTACCCCAAGTGCCTGTGTTAAGTAACTCTGTCCGGGGTCTGACAGAGGTAAGCTCGGGCTGACGGCGGGAGGAGAACAAAGCGTGCATCGGGGGAACAGCTTCGCTCTGGTTTTGGAAGCGGGTTTTGGTTCCCCGATGACGAGGGAGGGCCTTTCATCGTTTCAGAGCTGTTAACCATGAAAACTGTTCCAGGGGCTGGAAGGGACTGTGCAGGTCAGCGGGGCCAGCCCCCTGCACGCGGGCAGGAAAGACGGGCATCAAGATGCTTTTCCAGGAGGTGTTGCATTTAGTTTTCTCTCGGTTGGGGTCGGGGCTTGGACCTCTCCGCCCTGTCGCGTCCCTCCGTGCTCTTGCAGGGCAGAGGGTCTGCATCCCCTGCCCCCGCCCTCAGTCTCCACATTGTAGCCTCTCCCCAGCTGGGGTGCTCCAGGGGAAGGCACAAAGGGCAATGCAGCATCAGGCCCCTGAGCCCCTTTGCTACCTGGCAGAGCTCCTCCCTCACCGTCTGCTCCAGTGGGCATCACCCCCCCACCCCCCTTCCCCGGGGGGCGGCCCCAAA